TTCGTTTCCCTTGTTCTTAAATAAGATAAGAAACAGATACTTTTAAAAACTTTTACTCAGTATTATTCAAAATATTTTAAAAATCACATGCACACATCACAATACCAAGTAAATTGTTTGTTTGTTTTAAAAAAAAAAACAATAGCTATCTATTTTATTCTGTTTCCTAATTTTGAATCCTTCTGTGGTATCGAGGGAGGGGGGATATTCAGAAAAGTTTTTTTTTTTTAAGTTTGTAATCGAAACCATGATTATAAAAAAGTTTGTATATAAATTAAGAAAACATAAATGTTATATTATCTTTGTTTTGCTCAGTAAAGCACTGAAATTATTTTATGCATTTTCTACTGTATATATCATACCAATATTTTTTAAAATTTCAAATTACAGTACAAGGACGGAAGATTTGTTCTTCAAACATTAAAAAATCTCCAAAACTCTACAGTAAAAAAAAGAGTATAGGGAAAATTGAAAGGAAGTACTTAATAAACTTTTGTAAACGATTAGATTTCCGTTAACTATTCTCCTTAATTGATGCCCTGCTCTTAATTGTACTCTAACTATCACGGATCATCTTGGGAGGCTACATTTCTTTACGTTAAGAATTGGTCTGTAGTTGATTTCTGACATGGAACACCGAAGGTATATATTAAATGTAATCTGATCCAGAAGAAAATTTCACGTGTGAACGACACATGCACACGTCTTAATTATTTGAGCGATATCTTCATCTATAATCTGTTTAATGGTTATCTGAGGTTTTGTGTAATGCAAATGATATTTGAAACTTCTCTTAGTTAACAGAATTCCGTTCGTCGATTGGCATTAATCAATTTAAAGGACTATTAATCATGTATTAAGAATTTTAAAAAATAAAATAGAACCTAAAGTGTAAAATTTGACGTGTCAAATCATATACACTGTATTTATGCTGTTGATAATGACAGTCGCATGTCAAAATATACAACATATTGAGGTTTGAATCGTCTTCTAATGCCACAGTGCATCATTTGCATTTTTTGTCAAAATTGAACACATTATTATAGAACATATTCTATGTTATTTAAAATCGTATAAAGTAAAATTTTGAAATCGGAATACTTATTCAAATTCCAAATATGTAAATTTTTACTCATATTTGAGGTGACTACTAATACTTTGAAAAAGTCTATCTAACTTTTAAGCTTTAGATTTTTTTAAATTGTGCTGAAATTCAGTTTTCATTGTGTTTTTTTAATATAATTGTTTCATCAATTTCAAATGAAAAGCCTCACAAGTGTATTTTATTTTTATTTTTTAAAAAGAGAGCTGGAATTTTGATTGTTAGAAATGATGAAAAAATGTGTAAGTGTCTGAGACTTAGTATTTCGAAGTACAATAAAGCAAAAATTGAAGCACAAGAAGATAGATTGCAAAAGGCTGTGAGTTGATTACTTGGAAGTTCTTGAAGAAAGACTGTTAGAACTTAGCTGCAGATCTGTAGCTATCCTAAAAAATATATATATTGATAGACCGGAGAGCTACAGTGCCACCCATTGAAAAAACTGTATATTTATTGCGCACAAAAAAGTGCGCTCGGTTCTCGATTTATTTCTCCATGTTTTTAAATCTGTACTTTCAAAATGTTAATAACCATGTGTTCCTAACATATTCTTTCGCTGTTTCCACATCCAAACATTCCTCATAATTGTTGTTAATAGTCCTCCTGACCCTGATATTGTAATCATCGAACATTTCGTTTATTTATACTGCCATTTTGGTTTCAAAGATAATTCGGTCCAATATGCTTCGTTCAGATGTCAACTACGAGAGTACCTGATTGAGGATAAAGGATTTTTTTTTTGAAATCTTTCCTTTTTTGCATTTGAGGTAAGAATTTGGAAGAATTAATCAAGAACCGAGAGCACTTTTTTGTGCGCAATAAATATACAGTTTTTTCAATGGGTGGCACTGTAGCTCTCCGGTCTATCAATTTATTTTTTTCGGAGAGCTACAAATCTGCAGCTAGTTAGAACTATGATTTGGGCACTTCTAGGTACTTCAAGAAAAACTGCACGAGACAGTGATTTGGTAGTTACACATACTTCAAGAAAGACTAAAGATCTGTGATTTAAGAAGTTACAAATACTAGTACATCAAGAAAGACTAACTTTAAGAACTGTGATTTGGGAAGTTAGACGTAGATCATCAGAAATTACAAATGGATTTTACTTCGTTCTTGGAATCTCAAGAAAAGTTTTACCGACCGTCTTGTAGAGCAGGTTTAGAACATCCCCTTTAGAGTATCCCCCTCCCCGGAAAAGTGACATTAGCTTGGGCCTTCCCATTAGAAAAGTGGCTCTAGAGTAGGATTTCTCCCAAAGAAAAATAGATCTTGGGTAGTATTTCTCCTGCAAAAATTTCATTCAGTTGATGTTTTAAGGGGAATTCTAACTCTGTCTACTCTGCATAACAGTTAGAGAGCGCTATTTACAAGAGAGTCAATCACCTATAATAAAATATCATAGCAATACTTTTGTTTGAAGGGGAGATTGAGGCAACACATTGTAGCAAGTGTTTCTTCAAAATACCGTTCAGTTACATTGAAAATATAAAGTAACTTCAGTAACTTCCCAACCAGTTCTTAATCTTTTAGGGACAGATAATACAAACAAACTTCTATCAAAAAATCCTAAAATAACAACCAAAGTTATATTTATAGTAATATGAATAAATTTAACCGTACAGATTTTAATTTTTTATTCAAAGTTTTTCGATAATTTGATTTTAAGTGACCAAAACTGTATACATATAGATTAATAATGATTGGAATGATTTCAAGGCATTTTCTTAATTTTTGACAGTATTCCGAGTATTCGAAATGGGAATGTGGTAAACACAACACACGAAAACTGTCCACGAAAAAGGTAAGAAAATGTACGTGTATTATAATACCAATCCAGGTATGTAATCAATTGGTAAATTATTTTTAATGAAATATAGATAAATCGAATAGTATTCAAGCTCAAAATCTACTTAAACAACACGAATCGGGAGCAGAGAAAATTTGGGCCTCCAAAAACAACAGAGATGGGATCCGGTGCCATGAAGGAGTGAGCATCCCCTGTCGACCGGTCATTTCTGCCGTGTGCGCCTTGTCGTAATCGTGAATACAGAAAAATCCGATGACAATAAAGGCTGTAAATGATAGTCTAACAATTAGTATGAAAATGTCAGTCAGTATTTGACTCAATGATAGGTCTAAGATAAGTTTTGCCTGCAGCCCAATCCCATGTACGTTTTGAGTGAATAAAATTATGTATAAAACAGTGATATGTTGTATTTGCTGACAAGGTCATTATGTCGACCATAAAACTTGCAAAATGATAACTTCAATCAAGACTGTTGATACCCTTGTTTTATAAACTTATAATTGTCGGTAGTTTGTCTTATTTTAGAAATTGATCATGTTTTTGCTTTTCGAGTCAACTGAGACATAAACTCTATATGTAGGTGATAAGGGTAAATTTCTACGTAAGTAAGGAATGGCGACGATTTAAACGTTGAAGTTATCATGTTTATCATAAAGATTTGTTAACATTACCTTATCCAAGTATAATATTCAAATATGAAACCGTTGAGTCAGAATCTTTGGTATATTTCAAGCTCACTGAGATTTATCAAGAAGACATAGGAATGGAAGTAAGTACTGTTAATTATACGTCGTCGATATATTGAAATGTCGAGTTGAAGCGTTTTCTTCTCATGTAGAAGTTTTTGAATAAATTCTGCTTCATATGAATAAAAAAAAAGTTTTGAGAATAAAGGGCGAATATGGTACTTAAAGATATTACGATGGATTGTTGGAAGACATTATCTCCCAAAATAAATTCACTACAGTAGATATTGTCAATCATAAACGCAAGCATTTTTGATATCATTTTCATAGAACTTGTCAATGTGTGTACAATCAGATTTTTTTTTTTTACAAATTATTTTGCAAATGACCAAAGACTATGTAAGTATATTTAAGAGTTCCATTTTTGTTTTTTTTTTAAATGATGTCAAAAGGTCTGAACTTTAGTATATCGTGGTGAATGGTTGCAATAGGTTTTGAAAAAATCGTACGTTTCAATGTTATTGATTTTGGTAAAATTTTGTGATGTCAGGTTTTCTAACAGTTTCCTGGCGTTTTCAGTATCCATATCTGATTTAAAGCTTTTCTCAAATACACGTATTCTGCTGTACAGTACTTCTGAAGTTTCCTCTTCACTACTGTAAATGTTTTAGATATTGATTCATTGTATATAAATTGTTTACCGTCCCTCTCGAGAATTTTTCACTCGTATGGAGAGCCACCACTTGCCAGTGGAGAGCTGCAAAGTTTGTTTCAAAGGTGAAATCCTACGAATTGTGGCTATGAAGAAAACCCTACTCTTCCGACACTTCGGACTTTGAAAGCTCGTGAAACAGTAAAACAGAATGACTGACAGTGTGACAGAATGTGAGTGCCTTTTGCTAAACAGTCTCTTTAGAAAATTGTTCACGCACATTGAGACGCCACCACTTGCCATTGGAGGGCTGCATGTTTTAGAACTATATCGGTATTCAGGGCTTTTGCACAGGAAGGAATGTTTTTTTTTTGCCAGCATTTACTGCCATATATAGAACTTCGTTTATATACGGTCTCGTCCGAAAGACAGCAGTGGCAGAAACTCCTTAATTTGCGACACTCTCACCACTTCGCTACGCGAGCGACAAATTGTTTACCAAGAAATATTCAAAAAGTTTTAGAATAGGCTTTAATTTAAGGTTTTCTCTATCTAACTGTAAGGTTGTAGTAGTACATTTACCAGGAAGAATTTTGAAAACTGTAAACGGTATATATTTTATCTAAATGTTCAACGGAGGATTGGTCGAAGGGAAGTAATAACGTTTGTTCCAATAAAACTAGACATCACAGAGAACTCGATGCTCTTTCTTTTCGAGCCGATCTATAATAATCCATCAAAATGCTGCATTTTGTGGTGATTTAATTACTATTACGCAATTAAGGACTGTTATTGAAGTCATAAATGCAAAATTAAAACCGCAAATCACTGACAATTGAAGACAAATGAGATTTTTTTAAAACAGATTTATTTATATTTTTCTTCTCGAAAGCCTTCTGTCAATTCTGCAATCTTTGCCTTGACGTCACTTGTTAGATTGAGCACTAAAGTCACTTCTTTGAAAAAATCCGATCGGGAAACCTACAAAAGACGTATTTTATCACTTTTCGCTGTGTTTCGTTTTATTACTTTGAAATAAATGATATTAATCATCAATTTTCAAATTGACTTGTTTAAAAATGTGATAATCTTTTTGACAAAGCATCATTAAATAAAAGTTAATATACACAGTAACCTCTATTACAATTATAAGTTTAAATACATGAACAATCAAATACAAATGTTTTCGACAACCTCCAAAAAAACACTTTTTTTCTTTATTTCAAGTAAATTCTTGGTGCTATATATCTTTGTCGTACTTCCCGAAATCCATGCTTTGTAAACATCTTTATGCTTGGCTCGTTATCAAATCCAATCTTTGCTCGCACTTCTTCTAGCTTCAGTTTTACCCATCCTGCAGCAACGAGAAAAATCATTTCACTACAGAAAATGTTTACATTATGTCAGATTTTTTACGCAGTATTACAGCAATTAAAACATACAATAAAACAGGATTAAAATTAAATTAAGAAATTTGTAATGTTTGAGTTAACTGTAAGAAATACTCACCATAACGAATCATTAGGAATAAAGACTCTGTACCAAAACCTTTATGACGCACATTCTCTTCTGACAAACAAATAAGTCAACAAGTTCTGAGATGCTTACTTTATTGATATTTTGAATATTTTTATAATAAACATGTATATTGAAAGAAAAATTCCATTTTAACATTTTAATTAAAAAAATATGTTTTGGTTTATTAACTGCATTCTTTGTGACACCTTACAGGCATCGATTGAGGTCCCTGTTCGACGGAGCACAGATTAAGCAAAAAATAACAGAATACCGGTATGCCAGTAAAAATAATTTCTGCATTTTTACAACAAATGCCGATTTATAATCAAGAGTAAACGGTATTATATAGAGTTGACCAGAGTATTATTATACTCCGATCAGCGGTGCTAAAAAGGTCACAGCAAAATTTAGTTAAAAATATTAAAGTAGCTTGTCAATTTATAGTATTTTGTAACATTGGCATTAAACAGCCTACTCTACATCCAGGCATTAGAAAAAGCAGATCACTTGTGAGTTTTTTTAGTTACTTTAAGAATAAATACAGTTAATACCTGCTACCATCAAGTTAATTTCTCCTGCAATATGGTCATCTTCTTCAGTCAAGAATAAATTGACATCACCAACCATAGCATCTAGAAACAGATATGTAAAATTTAATCCATTTAACATTTAACTTGTATTTAAAATAGAACAAAATACATTGTGCGTAAAATGTAGTCAGGGTATGCTTCGGCAAGGAAATGATTAAACACATTTGGCATTCATCTTAAAAGCAAGTACATGTATTAGTACTGTAAATCGTTTTTTCTTCTTGAGAACTTTATTTTTCCGTAATTACTTTTTAGTATCAAAAATTTCTTTCTATTAATTATTTACATCAATGAAGATTATACTTAAGTATACGTTATTAAACAGAAAAAGTGAAAACTATTTTGTCTAGCTTAAAAGTTCCATTTCCCTATCTAACGTGTCGCAAAAATTTGGTGATCTACAGTTTATAAAGTTCACAACATATAATTCATGTTGAACATACAATACAAAAAGTTTACTAGTATATTATCGTAAAGCACATCTCATATACGACATATTACATAAGTTTTAATTGACCTTACCAATTTCTGTTTCAGGACCATTATACTTTTCTTTGTCTAGCATTATAAATGTACATTCTGAAATATACAAGCATATGCAACTTAAACAAATATCTCTGCAAATTCAGTAGATTATGTCTTTTAAGATTTAAGAATTTTATCCTTTGCCTCTTAATTATATACAGCTCAACAAACTTTTTAAACTCACATGGTTTTTCGCACAAATTAAGGTCACATTGTTTTAAGGCAAAATTGTGTAACGTATATTAAATAAATGATGTATAACTGAATTTTTATCACATTTCATTACTTTAAACATAATTCACATATAATATTTGATAGAATTTTAAAATGCTCTTGGATTATATATTTGGAGGGTTTCCAAATGATTTTTTCATGGTTTCTCGTCAAGTGCAACCGTTTTTGTATCAGTTCATTTTAAAGCATACTTTTGCCTTGCCTCAATACAAATACAGTGTAGTTCATGTAACTTCTGTATTTCTGTACTCTAATATTACTCTAAACCGCAGGGTGATAGAAGTATTTCTCTTCTGTTCGACTGCCTTCCATGTTAAAAAGATGACATTTTTTTAGGTTAAACTCCTGAAATCTAGCATCATGAAATACCTTCAAACACAAATTTTCAAAATTTCAGACCATATATGTTAAAGAATTTTCTTTTCAATATTTATAATTTACGATGTTGAAAGATTAACAATACTTTAAGATAGTATCTTTTTCTTGATTTCTTTATTCAGTTTTGACATTTTTCGGCGCAGCATTTCGCCAAAACCAAGACAAGTATGGAAAATGTGCAAAGTACCTAGAAAAATACTCATCTATAAGAAGTCAATTTGAAAATTTCAACCAAACAGTATCAAAGAAAGTTCGATTAATTAATTTGTAAATACTATGATAGAATCATACAAATTTAACATTATACAATTTATAAATAAATTCCCTTTTAGAAAATTGACTTTAAAAACTTAAGATAATGATTTTTAGAGAATATACACCTTTATCATGAAATATTTAAAAATATAAGGGTTCTGTCTCGTACTGAAACTCGATAATTTTAAGCTTTATTGCAAGAAAAATGTGACTTTAATTTGTGCGAAAAACCATGTGAGTTTAAAAAGTTTGTTGAGCTGTATATAAAGAAAAACCCAACCAAAATTTGATAAAATTATTTTGTTCTGCAAAAAGACTTACTTTGCTCGTCATTTCTCCAACTCTTCTGCATTTCATACTCCTCTTCTAGAGAGAGGGGTTCCGATGCTGTCAATTTCTGGAGCTCTTCTGACTTCATCCATTCATGATACCTGGAGTTAATTTTTAGAATTAAAATTTGTATTTGTTTAAAGAATACATGAAGTATTGTTAACAAGGATGGTGGAGCAGATGACGACGTCAAAAGCAGGATTAATAAGGCAAGACATGCTTTCCACACCCTCAGTCAAATCTTGAATTTTAAAGCTCTTTCCATCAACAGCAAAATCAGGATTTTTAACACAAATGTTAAAGCAGTTCTCTTGTATGGTTCCGAGACCTGGAAAGTTACTTAAAAATAAACAGCAAATTACGGTCTTTTATCAACAAATGTATTTCTCCGCCATATCCTCAACATCAGATGGCCTGACACCATATCAAACAATAGCCTATGGGAGAGAACCAACCAAAACCTTATAGACAGATATTGATATCAAGAAGAGAAAATGGGGCTATATGATATATATAACCCTCAAACAACAATAAACAAGCTCTGGATTGGAATCCACAAGGAAAGGGGAGGGAGATAAAGACCAAGGCAAACCTGGAGGAGATACATGTATAAAAGAAATGGAAGCAAATGAAGCTGGATTTAATCATATATTTTTAATATAAACATACAGAGGTTTTTAAGTGACATAGCATCTTGTTTTGTCATAAGAAAATTTCAAAAAAGGATCATTAATATACCAAAACAGAGTCCGATGGCGCGGTGTGGTTGCGGTCCTATGCTCCTCAAGGAGTGAACAAGAATAAGTCAAGTAAGTCAAAGTACTAAACTCTTTTTACATGAAACGGGAAAACAAATTGAAGAACCAGCTGAAGACTAGCAGACCAAGTTATTTGCTGACATTATGCAAACATTTCATAAAATCTCAACTCAGTCCTGAATCATTACCCTTTTCAACTACAATGTGGGGCTGTGCAAACACATCCAGGCCCAGGAAGGTACCATTGTGGCATACATGCCAAATATATCGTGGAACGTAATTTTTATTCCTTAAACTTTGAAAGTATGCCTTGCATTGTGTTGCTGTGGTATGATGATACAAAATAGAAGCAGAGCAAACAAGGACATGAAAAAAAACATTACAGGTGTGATCGGGTGCCATGGAGGAGTGAGCATCCCCTGCCGACCGGTTTACACCCGCCGTGTGCTCCTTGTCATGATCGGGAAATAACGGAAAATCTGTCGTCAATTCAGTGGATAAATAATGGACTAAAAACTTAGTATGAAAAACGACAGTCAGCATTTGACTCAATGATAAATGATAAATTGTATTTGCTGACAAGGTCATTGTATCGACCATAGAACTTACGAAAGAACTGCGAACGATAGTATTGTTCTCCCGCCTATCTCAAAGTCAATTTTCAAAAGTTAACACATTTGATGAATTTTTAATATTTTTTTTAAAGATAATTATATGGATTTTCATAAAAGATTACTTATTTGGGAAAACGAAGAGAGATAACTCTAAAATTTTGGTAAAACTTGTGTTTTTCACTATAGAAATCAATGAAAAACGAAAATATTTTTAAAACATCCCCCCGTGAAACGCAAATTCCTTTTTACGGGTAATATCGACTGTCATTTCACAAATTCATACCAAAGCTTTTTGTGTGACACGGGGGAGGGGGAGGGGGATATGTTTATTGACAAAAACGATGTAATGCTTATTTTCCACCAATTTCAAAGCGATTTACAACTGAAACATTATACTTTATTTATATTTTATTTATTTGCCTAAAACATATGAAAAGATATAAGGAACATTTAATCAAATCCAAGTCTATTTCAAAATATGGCGATGATTGAAAGTTTGATTTCAATGGAAAATATCGTCTACCCCCCTTTTTTCAAGAGCTGGAGTTATGGATAATTTATTTTAGGGCTCTTTATTTGGGGCCGGGGCCGTTCAAATTGGGAAAATTATCGTCATTTTGGGAAAAGTCGGATAACACAAATTCATTAAAAAAAATCCTCAAAAGATCAATAACTCTGGTTTGAATAAACAGTTAAACAGAACAAACATGGGTACGTAGGCTATTTATGAAAGTACATTAGCTTTGTCAAATTAGTGTTGATATTGCGGTTATATGTCTTACTGCGTGACAGTCGCTAGTCACATTGTCCCGAATTTCCTCGATCACATGGGCAACTTTGCTTACCAATGCAGCGCGAGACTGAATATGCCTATGCGCGGGTATATTTCTAGGTGCAGCTTACTAATGTTTAAATGAAATGTCTATTTTTGAAACCAAAATGCTGGTTTTTGTCAAAACTACATAACAAGATACTCTGCACTCATAGTTGTATACCAGTTTATGCATTTGGCACGAACTAATAAAACAATCATACAGTTTCACTTCCATTTGCAAATGTGTTTTGTTTGGGGTTTTTTTCTGTTATTAAGTTTCCTGGACTTTTATTTTTTAATTAATATTTTGCTATGGGAGTTCGGAAATTTACACCTTTCTTTTGGGGAAAAAACCTTTTTTTATTGGCCAAATCGAGAGCCCTGCAATTTATATTCAATTAAGAAATAAATAACAAGTTTATCAATGGGAATGAAGTTGCAAAATCCTGTGAAGGCCGAAGGCCTTCTCAGAAGATTTGGAATTCCGAGAGTTTATAAACTTGTTATTTATTACTTATATATACATTTGAGACAGACAATTGAATATTTTCGAATTTAAATTATTGCACTAACCGTCCGCCGTAGATTTTGAAAAATGACGCAAGGTGTAAATCGGCTTGCATGGCGGTTACGCTTCAAATTCATTAGGCTAAGGAATCTATTTCGAAGGGAATATTTTGTGAAAGGCTACTTGTGATCAGTAATAGTGAACAGATTGTTGTCTGGGAATATTTTATTCGTGAAAAGGATAATCGATGCTGAAAAAACACAAGAAACACGTCCGAAGTTTGATGATAAAAAGTTGGAGGATTTTTCGCTGGAAAGGGATGGATGGATCCGATGGACTGAGACACTTGTCCGAGCCAGTTAATTTGCAATTTGATCAAAAATATTCCACGGTTTCTGTAACTAAAGGCATACTTATCGTAAAACACTGATAAACACGGAGACACTGGCGACAGCTTTATATTGAACTACGTAGGTGTTTGGCAGCTGTTCATGGCATGATTGCAAAGATATTTTCCACATATTTATAAATTTATCGTGAGAAAAAATTAAAGATAAAATAAAAGTTTATCATGAAAATTTAACTAAAGGTCTACCCAAAAATAAGGATAAACGTTAGAGACTGTGCAACTGACAAAAGTGAAGAAAAATGTAAACAAACGCTAGGCTCCTAGTTTTCTCTATGTACACGGGTTGAATCGATAGCCCAAAAACTGTATGAAATACTTGTTTACATTTTAAATAAAATAATTATCATTTTACTTGCTTATTTTGTTCATTTTTATACACGAAAAGCAAGTAGAGCAGGTCATTTTAAAATTTATGTACCGGTAGATATTATTGCGCCGTGTGATTAGGTCACGTATTGACGTCTGACCTCTGACAAACTTCATACAGAATTGAAGATATTTTCTCTCTGTATGTTTATATAATGGAGAGATACCACAAATGTATATATTATCCATTGAATTGTTCTTTGTATTAAACAAAGAATTTATGGCCAAATTTCAATTTATATTGAATCAAATGATTGCAAAATGTAGGGGGGAATCGAGAGTTAGCGTATTTCTTTTGACTTTAAACGAGACTGCTGATATTCTTGTTTCCTCAACTTGTTTGTCAATAATTTACCTCGTTTTAGAAATTGTTCATTCGTAGAGATGAAGGTATATTGCTGCATAAGTAAGGGAAGTTGACGATAGAAAAGTTAAAGTCATCATGGTTATCATAGGGCTTGGTTGTTAGATTACCATTACCATCTTTTCAAGTAAAAAATCCAAATATGAAACAGATGTGTCAGACTCTGTGGTATCTTTTATCTAAAGCTCACCAGGATATATCGTATCAACATAAGAATGAAAATTACCATTGTTAATTGACAATACGTCGTCGATATATCTAAATGTCGAGTTGAAGGCCACTGCAAGTGTTTTCTTCTTTTCGCGCGTAAGGTTTTGCATGAATTCTGCTTCATATGAATGCAAAAATAGGTCTGCTAATAACGGGGGCGCAGTTGGTATCCACGAAAATTCCAATAGATTGTTGGAAGACCTGGTCTTCAAAAACAACATAGATATTGTCAATCAAAAACTCAAGCATCTTTTTTTATGTCAACTTCAGAGTACTTATGTGTACATTCAGAATGTTTTTAACAAAATAATTTTGCAAATGACCAGTGACAAGGTAAGTAAATTTACTAGTTCCATTTTTATCGAAAAAGCAGCTGTCGATAAAATCAATTTAAAGCTTGGACTTTAATATATCGTTGGGAATGGTTGTGGGTATATTTTAGTTGAAAGGTCGTAGGTTTTTAAGCTGTTGATTTTGGTAAAATCTTGTGATTTCAAATTGTCCAAAAGTTCCTTGGAATTTTTAAGTATGCACATCCGATTTACACTAGCTATTTCTTTATATTGTTGAACAGTATTTCTGAAGTTCCTCCTTCAATGCTGTTAATATCTTTGTGAGGAGTAAAGAAAGAGGCCTGGTTGAACATTTACATGAACATAGGGTGCAGGGGTAGCCCACTTTTATTCTAAGCATTACTTTAAACTACTAAAATATTCCATAAAACACTGAGGCTGGTTGCCCTTCCTATTCTGTTACAATATAAGGTTAAATAATAATATATCAATTAATCTCTCTCTCTCTCTCTCTCTCCGAGACACTTACTTTGGAACGTGGATTTCTTCATATGGAACAAGAACAACTTTTTCCCCAACTAAAACTACGTTGCTATTTAATTTCATTCTAGATAAACCGATGTTATTCAATCTGACTAATCTGACTGAGGTAATCTTGTCTCAGGACAGGCCATCATCATAAAACGTTCAAATGCCTTAGTCCAACGAAAATTACGAGGGTAATTATAAGTACATTGAGAGTATAAAGCGGTCTTTTCACTCTACGTTGACCAATAATTACTAACTCTGAGTGTCGATATTGCCCAAAGTATCGAGGAAATTCGAGAAATTGAGCAAGGAATGGGTAAAAGTAGGATTTATTTGCAATTTTGCAAAACGTAAGTTTCATCAAGGAATTTTCAAATCGTGTTTCTCGCAACAGCGATCAATATAATAGTACACTATTTGCTCCAATGCAGGGTCGGAGTCATATTAAATAACAGGGCAAGGGAAAATAAGAAACGAATATATTTTTGAAAGTATTTAATAAATTTATAATTGCGGAACAAATATTTTATACGGTCGCAATGCAAAACGTGTTTTAGTGCTTCAAGTTTCAGTGGCGCTGGAAAAGAAAATGATAATAAGTTAAGCAATATTCATTTGTAAGAGATTAACACATAGGATCGTGATTTTTTTTTATTATTAAAAAAAATCCAGTTACTAATGTACGTATGATGCCTAAAAGATCACAAATGCATATCAAAACCTCATGCTACATTTTCCTTGGTATGAATGAAAAGTATGAGGCGCCGTTTTAATATTTTTAAGATATTTTCTGATATCAAAAAATCATTTTGTGATATCAGAAATTAGATTTTCTGATATCAAAAAATCATTTTTTGATATCAGAAAATAATCAAGATTTTTTGATATCAAAAATTCGATTTTTTGATATCAGAAAATGATTTTTTGATATCAAAAAATAGAATTTTTGATATCAGAAAATAAACAAGATTTTCTGATATCAAAGATTCGAATTTCTGATATCAGAAAAATGATTTTTTGATATCAGAAATTCGAATTTTTGATATCAGAAAATCATTTTCTGGTATCAAAAAATCTATTTTTTTGATATCAAGAATTATTTTTTGATATCAAAAAATATTTTTTGATATCAAGAATTCGAATTATTGATATCAATAATTTCTTTTTTGATATCAGAAAATACCTCAAAAATATTAAAACGGTGCCTCATATTCTTCAAGATGAAGTCTACTTTGTGTGACGGGAAACTAAATGTTCATCAAGGGGAGCATTCATTAACTCGATCGTAATTTTACTTGGTTCTTATTTTCTGATATCAAAAAATTGATTTTGTGATATCAGAAAATACTTATCATTTTTTGATATCAAAAAATCATTTTCTGATATCAAAAATTCGAATTCTTGATATCAAAAAATGATTTTCTGATTTCAGAAATTCGAATTATTGATATCAAAAAATCTTGTTTATTTTCTGATATCATAAAATGTATTTTTTGATATCAGAAAATATATTTTTTGATATCAAGAAGTCTTGATTCTTTTTTGATATCAGAAAATAATTTTTTGATATCAAAAATTCGATTTTTTGATATCAAAAAATCATTTTCTGATATCAAAAAATCGATTTTTGATATCAGAAAATAAACAAGATTTTTTGATATCAAAAATTAGATTTTCTGATATCAGAAAATCATTTTTTGTTATCAAGAATTCGAATTTTTAACATCAGAAAATGATTTTCTGATATCAAAAAATCTATTTTTTGATATCAAGAATTATTTTTTGATATCAAAAAATATTTTTTGATATCAAGAATTCGAATTATTGATATAAATAATTTCTTTTTTGATATCATAAAATACCTCAAAAATATTAAAACGGCGCCTCATAGAAAAGGGTGAAGAAAATAATATAAAAAAAAAAGTTAAACAATGCAAATCTAAGGGCTTAAACATGGACCCCTGGAAATTTCATGGGCGGGGCCAGGTGTGTAGGAGGAGTAAGCATCCTTTGTCGACCGGTCACACAGCGTGCATTTGTGTATTAATCAATTAGACGCCAGAAGTTCAGTGTATAAACAATTGCCTAGAATAATTGGTATGAAACAAATGCGACCAAGTGATAGGTTATATTTGCTAACAAGGTCATTATAACTAACGTAGAATTTACGAAACGCTGACTCTAAACGAGGTCGTTGAAATCTCTGTGACATCAACGTACCTGTCTGTAGCCTACATTGATTAAAAAAAACTGATCATACTCTGAGCATGCTCTTGAGTATGTAAACTATACACAGATGACAGCGGGATATTACAATATAAAAAAAGGAATGTTGACGGTGGAGAAGTTGAAATCTTCTTGTTTTTCAGTACAGTTTAATTTTAAGTTAGACATAATCGTCTATAGCCAATAAAACATCCATATATGAAACAGATGTGGTCGACTCTGCGGTGTCTTTAATTTCAAGTTCACTAAAATAAAATCATCGAATCGACATAAGAATGAAAGTACATGTAGCTATTGTTAATTGATAATACATACAAAGTTGATACGTCTAATTTTGTATGTCGAGTTGAAGGTCACCGCAATTTTTTTCTTCCTTTCATGTAGAAATTTTTGAATGAATTCTGCTTCGTGGGAATATTTATTTAAAAAAAAAAAGCTAATAAGGGATCGCAATTAGTGCCCATCGGAATTCCAACAGTTTGCTGGAAAACCTAGTATCTGAATACTACATAACTGTTTTCAAAGATGAACAAGGTATCTGTTTGATTTTAATGAATTTTAGGAATCCAAAATAGGAAGAGTAGATAGAACTCACATTGGTTGACTGGAACGTTAAATGTTTTGAAATTGAAGAAATTCATCTTTTGATAGTGAATGCGATTATAAGTTGGATTTCCAGAATTAGAATTAATGAAAACCAAGTTCTTCTAAAAAAAGTAGTTATTATAAGGCAAACAAAGACAATACAAGCCTGTTATAAGCCTCATCGGCTGAAATCATAACATGGTTTACGTACATGTAGTCTATCTATTTAATACTTGGTAATTCTTTGATTACCTCCGACTTATTAAAAATGGAAGGATAGTTCAGATCTTCCTTTTCATATTTCGCTCAATGTCTGGCTTAATCTTCGACAGAATTCATTATTGAAATGAGATTCTGTCACCAAATGAAAGATCAGGGCTCCATGTACATGAAGTTAAGTCCTTTTAAGATGATCGATTTAATTAAGGTCTTCATTTTCAACTATATACTTTTAACACACAAGCAGGGGCGTAGCAACAGGGGGGGCCAGGGGGGGCCTGGCCCCCCCCCCACTTTTTCCCCCAACCTTACTTATACTGTACGAAATGTTAATTGAAAGTCTGGTTGCCCCCCCCCCTTATTTTAGACTTATAGTGATGTACCGAAAATGTAGTATTAGAATTGGTACTGAAAGTAGTTGTAACTGAGAAAAAGTTTACCTAAATCCCCCCCCCCCACGAAATAGGATTTTCGACTTTGGGCAACTTTTCCGTTTTTTTTTTTTTTTTTTTTTTTTGCTTGTCAACTTTTTCAGGTAAGTAAAAAAAAAATTTTCTCTGGCTGGCCCCCCCACTTTCAAAAACGATGCTACGCCACTGACAAGTACTATTTTTATATATTTTCACATATGCTCTCAGCAATAATATAGTTACAGAATTTGGGATCAATAGCTCCTTTTTAGCTCAGCTGAGCTGAAAGCTCGTCCGTCCGCCTGTAAACTTTTCACATTTCTTCTCAGGAACGCAGGACCAACCTTAACCAAACTTGGTAAAACGCATCCATGGGTGAAGAGGAGATTAATTTGTGAAAATAAATGGCCAAGCCCCCTTACAAGAGGAGAAACTCAAGAAAAGATAAAAATAGGGTGCGGTCATTAAAAGAAATCTTCTCAGGAACCACTGCGACCAGAAAAGCTGAAACTAATGTGGAAGCAACTTGGGGTAGTGTACAAATAATAGGGAATCAATGTTTTGCATTGAAGTATAAAGGAAAAATCTTCTGAAGAATAACTTGGCCATCCTGGAATAATGTAGATTCTAAATTGTTCAAATCATGACCTTTCGTGAAGGGTGGGGTCACAATAGGTATTACAAGAGGGGAAATTTTGTAAAGAACATGGCCAAAGTTACTCAGGTGAGCGATGTGGCACACAGGCTTCTTGTTAAAATTTAGATAGCAATTTACCATGAAACGAACACCACCACCCACCCACCTCCAAAAAGGAATACATATTTTTCTAATATGCTTTCACTAAAAGTTGGGGATAATAAAGTGTCTGTCTGTCCATCTAGCCATCCGTCTGTCTGTTTTATTATCTGTGTGTAACATTTTCTTTTCAATACAATATCTCAAGAAGATTTTAAGACTTTGTAATGAAATTTTATATCGTAACTTCCTATCTTCTAAAAAAAAATATAAAATTTCTACATTATGTATGTATATAACATTTCCTTTTCCAAGTGATATCTTGAATAGCCTTTGAGTTTTTGCAAAGAAAATTTATGTAAGAACTCCTAGTGGCCTGAAAAAGACCCCTACTGGTTTCAAGGTGAGAAGGTCAAAGTTCAAGGTTATGAATATATATTGCATACACATTTTTCAGATGATATATCTAGTTTTTGTAGGTTTTGCAATAATACTAAGGACATAAATTTCTTTCTTTTTAAAAAAAGGCTCCTTTTGACTTGAAGCTAAAAGTTGAAAGATTGAAGTGGACATTTTTTTCTCCTCACCATATGTTTTCAAGTTCTTCCATCCTCTTTTTTTTATCATTAAGCTGGAACACAAATTCTCTACATGAGCTTGTTTTTATTCAGTGTTTGAAACTCACTGTAAAATTAGCTTGACATGCATGGCTGATTGCTAGTGAAAGTTGTCAGCCCTGCCAAAAATGTACTAGCCCGATAAAAAATAATTGTCTTTTACAAGTTAGTTTTAGCAAAAATGTGAATGGGACCAGCTCACCATAAATTCGATCCCAGACCTATAGTCTGATGAATTCTACCCGTTTGCTTGTAGCACTTTACAACCAGTAATATTAGTTGATTTGAGAGAGTTTTATCAAATATTTGTATTTTGATTTATGAATAATTTTACTCATCCAACCTGGCGTCAGTACGAGAAAAAATTTGTGCATTTCAGGCGGTAGGTAATTTTAAATACTGTATTATTATTTTTTTTTTAAACAAAAACTGTATTTATGTAAATAAAAAAATGTACAGAAGTGAACGATTGTTGCTCCAAGTTTCCTTTTTGATGAAGAAGAAATACCTAATTAGTTGTATTTCTGTTTTAATAATACATAAACAACAGTCACATATCAATAAAAATAAAAGTTATCACATTTAAGAATTTTCATAATGTTTAATGTATCACATTTCAATAAGTGTTGTACGTATCACATCACCCCCTGTTTTGCCTTGCTTGTTCGATTTTCCTTCGAACCTGATTGCAGTTTAATGTGAGTTCGGCATGTGACATTTTTAATCTTTCAAGTCTTTCTCTTAGATCATCACTTTCGTCCTTTCTCTCCTCGAAATCTCGAAGTAAAGGCTCGTTACCTAGCAACCCACAGCTCTGGCGTAGGCGCTGGTTGTCAATTCGTAGGGCATCTCTGGCTTGTTTTGTTCTGGATAAAATGTCTCTTTTCTGCAAAAACAACATTATAGAAAGTTAATGATATCTTAGCAATACTTCAAAAAAAAGTATTGAAGGTAATTCATGCATATGTATTGGATTTTACGTTTTATTTCTTTTAGTGTTTTGTCCATATTATACTTCACAATTTTATAAATGAATAATAGCCATTTATCCAAGTGAGAGTTACCTCTCTTATCAGCGGGTCCAGGCACCTTAACTTGCTATTCCTTATAACTACTTCCTTGAATAAAATTTTGACTGTCTGTATTTAACTTGTACTTTACATTGTATGTATCCAGTGAAATCCAAATTTAGACAGTAATAGTTACCATGGCAGCCTCAGCTTCCACTTCTCGGAGACGACCTTTCTGTACTTGATTTTCAGCTTGCACAAATTGAAGTTTTTCTTTCAAGTGAGTTAGAACTTGAACAGTACTGGTAATTTTCTTTCTTAATTTTAGAATTTCCTATAGATAACAATAAGAAAAATCTTAATAATTCAGAAAATTTAGTGTCTTGAGTTTGCTAATAATGAATGGATTGAAATAATATTATCGATAAGTGAAATTACAATGAAACCACTGCATATGGATTCATGCCTGCATGCATAAAACAAATTTCTTACCTCATTTCTCTCTTCAATTTTCTCATTATATGTTTGGTTTTCAATTTTCAGTTGTTCAAAATCAATTAAATGTAGACCTTCTGCAAGTTCTTCCTGTAAAATAAATGCCAACTCAAAATTGTTGTTTAAAAAACATGCTTTTTCAAAATTATGCTGAAAATTGTCCAGAAATAGAAAATTTACCAGTGTCACCAATAATGTTTAAAACAGTACAAATTGCGACTTACCTTTGACTTTAATTGATGTTCTTTCTTTTTTAATTTGTTTTTCAGTTTGATATTTTCTAAGCGAACTGCTACTACATCTTGTTCTTTTTTATTTTCTATGGATAAGGCCTGCTCTATGTCCTGGAGATAGAGTAAAATAATAAATTAGAATTCAAAAAACATGCACACATTTTTTTTTTTTTTTGAAATCAATTTCTTCAGAGACATATTTATATATGTTAAGAGTATAGAAATTTACCATTCCAATATACATGTAAACTACATTTTTATGAAAAAATCTGGAAAAGCTCCATTATTAAGTGTAAGATTTGGAAAAGAGTTTTCTCTTTAAAAATAAAGTCCTTTTTTAGGAATGTGCTAAAAATGAAAGAGGCTACATAGATTTATGTAAAGCTTTAATCTTGAACAATATGCTAGCCTAACTCCTACATAGGCATAACAAACATTCCTTCATACAGTGGGTTCAACAGACCTAGATTACAGTACACAGTCTAAATGTCACAATCATGAATGCAAACCCTGATCAACTCTGAGCTTTATACCTTTGGTGGAACAGGCTTCCCTGATCTGTTAGAGATGGCGTTTAATGCCACCTGTTTCTTGAATTCCATGAATTTCTTCCTCTCCTCATCCACTTTCTCTTTCTTCTCCTCACATTTTATCCGTAAGTCCTCCATCTGATTTTTGTAATTCTCCCTCTCGGCTGCATCCAGTTTTCTCAACTCGTCAACTTGAGCTGAAAAGAGTGTATCCCAAAATCAACCAACAATGTTCTGTAGATTTTACAGCACAATACTGTACAGAGAAGTTTCATGAGAACTTTTGACTAAAAAATCCATTTTATATGCTGTTAGAAACTGTATTACATGTATCGTGTGACCCAATTTTAGTCCAATAAATTTATGCATATGTGATTATATATGTCAATTTAGTGTAATGCCAGATTACCTACCCATATACTTGACATATTTGGAGTCCTGATCGTTTGCTGTTTTATCGTAGTCTTGTCTGGCATCATCTGCTTTCTTCTTCCTGAAATGTTCTGCCAGTTTGTGCTGAAGCATGTAGTTAGACTGTTGTAATTCTCTCCTCTCCTCAAGCAAAGTCTGTTAATTAAAAGTGTTGAAAGATTCCATAATTATTTCCATCAATTTAAGTTATTAACTACTTTGAGTTTACTTTACATATGACTTTCCATCAGGTTGTTTCAAAAGAATTTTGTCAATAATATATATTATTAACTTTTTACGCGGTAACAAATTATCGGAAATTTTTTCTTAATATAAATGTAAGGCAAATATACAAGTAATTTTCACCCGCGGATTAAACTGAAATTGAGATTCCGCGGAATTATGACCCCGTGGAAAAAAGTACGTCTACAGTATATTATTCACTTTTTACTCATTATCATTTTTCATAATCATATACAAGTCAGATTGAGAAGGGCCGTAAATGCAAATGTATTGATATTTTTCAAGGACAGCCTCTCTATCAGACTCACAAGTTATAAAGGGACATAACTGCAGTGTTTACCTGATATTGTTGAAGAAGAACCTCTCTATTAAACCAGTTAAGCTTATAAAGGGAAATAACTGCAGCATTTACATGATATTGTTCAAGGAGAGCCTCTCTATCAAACTAAGATTATAAAGGGGCATAACTGCAAAGTTTACCTGATATTGTTCAAGGAGACCCTCTCTATCAAACTCAGGTTATAAAAGGACATAACTGCAGTGTTTACCTGATACTGTTCAAGGAGAGCCTCTCTATCAAATTCAGGCTCTGGCTCCTCCTCCTCCTCTTCCTCTTCTTCTTCCTCCTCTTCTTCCTCAGCAAAGGGAGCTAAATGTTGTTCTGTGACTGAGGCTGAAGTTTTATTTAAAATTATATACATGTACTGGTACATGTATTACAAATTGCCATAGGATGGCAAATTTCACTTGAATTGAATATGTAAAATACCTGGTATAAGATTGTAAACAAAATTTACAATATTTCTTCTTAAGCTTTTTATTTATAGAAAGTCTACCAATGACTGGTAATGTTTTGTTTGAAGAAGAAAGAAAGCAAACAAACCTGGCCTTGACCCCTCTGGAGTACCAGGTTCAAGGGCAGCTGTGTCAGGTTGAACCCCCTCATCTCCCTGTACAGGACTTCCCTCTCGGGATAATTTCTCACCAGCAATTTGTGGACTCTCCGGCCTCTCTCCCTCAGCAAAGGTATCACTCTGTCAAATTAGATAAAGACAGGGTAAGCATTTAAGGACAAAATAAAACTTAATGAGTTTTACCAGTGGGTCTACTGTAAAGTATCAAATGCAAGCTAAATAAATGGCTTAAATGGCAGCATTATTATATGCTCTTAAAATCTTTAAGATGTTTTCTATATGCATTTATATTTGCATTTCACAGTTAATGATAGAAGATATTTCCATCCTACCTGTGGTACTGGTGATTTTGATCCCTCTTCACCCTCAGCCTTCTCTGCTGTTTCCCCTTCCTCAGCAGGTTTCTCTTCTTCTGTCTTCTCTCCTTCTTCTCCTGTTCATTAAAAATAAGTAAATTAATGGTTCCCCAAAAAACTCTCTACTTTAAAAAAAAAATACAGGCAAACTTCGTTATCTCAACATCGGCGGGACAATCGGGAAATGGCGAGATATCCAACGTGTTGAGATATCAGAGTTGAGACTCAACGTCCTTAATAATTTAGGTACTGCTTAGTAAAACATATGCACACATCTTCAATACACTGTAGCTCATTTGTTTCAGCTATTCCTCTTTATTTAATAGAAAATCTGAGAAATTATATACAAATTTAATTTATAAATGCTTCCCTTTTTGATGGAAATCTTTTAATTTTACTAATAAAAGTTTTCCAGCCAGCATTCCGCTGTGCAGCTTGCTTCGTCAGAATATGATACGAAAAGGGCTCTCTAAACTCCAAACCATAACTGTATAATGTCGACTTCTGTGATACGGAAAAAAAATTAATGCATAGTTTTTGAAATTATTTGATTTTACTCATTTTCATTTCATCATCATTCATCATTTTTTTTCATTTTATTTTCAAATCAAAATTTAAAGGGATTTGCGTATTAAAACAAACTCAAATGATGATGTAACACATGCATGGATATTACGGCTAGTCGTGTGCTTGTCATAGATTGGATTGTTTCCTGTTGGATGCATTTTTACAATTTTTAAATTAAAATGAATTTAATATGTATATTATTCATTGTACATCAGTTCCTTTTTTTAATATTAAAGTTTTGTTATTTTCTACATATATAAACAGTCGTACATGTACATTTACGCAGAATCGAGCAGGTTTATCAATGATATTACCCAAGCTGAACAGGTTAACCAGGTGAACAATAAACAATTAACGTCTCAGAGACACCAAGGGGCTTGAAATTCCTCTACAAACACATTACTACAGAAGCAGTATGTAGTCAAAACATGGGTGTGAAAGGTGTGAATTTCTCACGATGCTGAGAAACACAGAGTCGTCCGTGCGTGACGAGTGACCAGCTGACAAACAATTATGTTAATTAAGTAGATCAGAAAATTGCCCCGATGTCGACATATACCAGGTAAATTTGCACTTTGGACTGTGAATCACCGAGGTCGACATATCAGAGTTTTTGCAAATCATTTATATAGTTAATAATGCTGGGACCACGGACAGACGTTGACATATCCCAGGTTGTCGACATATCCAATGTCGAGATACCAAAGTTTACCTGTTCTAGGCATTCGTCAAGGATTGAAAAATCAAACACATGTAGGTTTCTCTCCTTCCTCTGTGGTCTCCCCCTCATTTGCTTGTTCACCCATCACCCTCGGCTGGCTGTTCACCTTCTACGGCTGCAGTCTCTGTTTGTTCACCACCTTCTGTTATAAAGACAAGAGATGAAATTGTAGATTGTTGGCTAATAATTTGAAGACACCAGTCATTTCACAAATTTTGGCCATAAAACTTATGGAAGTAGCAGTAAATTCATACAAAAGGAATAGTTGATAAAATTAATATCCTTATAGCTTCAAACATGGAAACTATTCAACAAATAATATAGTGACTACAACTGAGTTTATTCGAGTAATATATTTATTTTACTTTAATTCTTCAAAAATAATTTTCTAACCTGCAGGAGGTTCTTCCGTCTTGTCTTCAGCATTTGTGTTGGAATCAGCAGGTGCTTCTTCTGCAGGAGGACCATCTTCCTTTGATAGATAATTTATGATGTTTTTTAAATCATTGGATTTGGGATGTCATGTGGTTCTGCCAAGGTTATGTTCTGCTGCTGGGGTTTCCTCACTGGTAGCAGGTGCTTCTGTGTTCTCTGCCTCCTTAGGGACAGAGTCGGTGGGCTGTGATTCCTTAAAAAAAAATAAATTACTTGTAAAACCAAACCAAAATATATATACTTTGGATGATTCAGCTTCAGAAAAATTACCAAGGGTATGTTGTAACATCAGTTCAAAAAGTCGTGTTTGTGTGTATTTTGCATTGAACAGGTTGGGACCAATCGCCCATATGGGATATCTTCTTTTGCTGGTATAATATTCCAAATGGGCTATAAATTTGCTGGCAAAAATTGATTTTTTTAATTTTGGCTATAAATATCATAAATTCTGACACTTAAAAAAGGAATAACTTTCTGCTGCTGGGGTTTCCTGCAACCCTACAGTTTGTGTTCTCTGCCTCAAGAAGTTAGGGACAGAGTCAGTGGGCTGTGATTCCTTAAAAAAAATAAATTACTTGTAAAACCAAACCAAAATTATATATACTTTGGATGATTCACCTTCAGAAAAATTACCAAGGGTATGTTGTAAACATCAGTTCAAAAAGTTGTTTTTGTGTGTATTTTGCATTGAAATGTTATAGAATGGCCATTTTTAATTATACCATTTTTAATTATACTAAAAGAAAATAATTTGTTTTCATTTATAGTTTTTTATGTTCATTTATTTATATATTTCATACATTTTATTCAAGCAGTGTAAAAATGTCAGAAAATCATTCAACAAACAAAAACAATGATGAGGAAATTCGAAATTATGACTGTTATCTTTTGGGTCCATTTTGCTAAAGTTGCTGAATTTATACCAAAACTTTTGACGTGTATTTCTGTGTCACCACATAAATATATTGATTTTCTCAATAAACAAGAATTGTTCAACAAGAGTGTTCAGAAATTTAAGTAAAAACACACATACCTCTTGATCAGCCATTCCGTTGGCAATGTTGTCAGGGAAAACTATCCAGGTGGCGCTGTAGTTAACGCGCGATAACTCACGGAAGCTTTGGAGGGAATTTCAATCTCGATCATTACGCGCTAAAATTAATTTTGAGTAAACACCAGAGGGAAACCGTTAAAGATGATGTCCACAGGTCATGTTGTGTCTTCTCCAATCACAAATGGATCAAACAAAGGACAGATTCAAGTGAGTGTTGTTCAAAATAATTGAAAAGTTTAAGAAATTATCTATCAACCTTCCCTCCCATTATTGTTTATACTTTCCAGACGATTTGATTTGCATGCACGTGTAAATTTCAGTGGAGAGAAAATTTACAATGTTTATTATATATTCCACCCATTATCAAAAGACAAAAATATCTTGTGAAAAAATAACATTAGAGTATCATAATCATGATGATGTCAGATGATTTTGATAATTTTTAAATTTTTTTTTATATAATCTTTTAGAATTTTTTTCATACACTCAAACAAAGAAGATGGCTATGTTGCACTTACCATATTAAAACAAAGGTTTTTCAAACATAAATGTTTCATTTCATCTTCTGGCTGCTTAATTATGGGTCGACTTTAATTAATTTACTGTACCATACACTTTGGTAATGGGATATAATAGTCCTTTGATATAACTGCTGCTTTTAAATTTTTATTTTGGCAGGGGAAAGCATAATAAACCATATTGAAAAGTCAGAAAATAGCTACACCAGCTGGTGTCGCAACTCTGCCAAACTTTTGAAACTTTTTTTTTGTGGATCTTACTTCCGATATGCAAGAAATCAGTAAAGAGATGATTCTTCTATAACTTTCTAATCATTAAAAGGTTGCTATTGCCATTTAAACGATCCTTTTGCTGACAAATTAAGCATCGTATGAGAAAGTGACCTAATTCAAGTGATGCTTCAGTTGCTAGTGACAGGGCCGTTTAAATGGCCTGGCCATAGCATCCTTTTAGTAATGATGAAGTTGTAGAAGAATCATCCCTTTACTGATTTCTCGCATCTCAGAATTTAGATCCGCAAAATAAACTTGTAAAAGTTAGGTATATGACACTTCTCTGGTAGGCCCTAATTTTGACTTTTCATTAGGTTCCAGCCTCTGCAAATGTAACAATATAAAAAACAGTAGAGTCGGAGGAATCTCGAATTATTGTCAAGGTAGCTTTTTGGATGCAATGACTACCTACCTAAGACCATAGCACAAAGATATTGTTTTTCTCTGTACTTATGTCCTTTATATTTTGACTCTTTTAAAAATTTATTTTAATTTTTTAAAATTGATTTTCAGCTCATTTTTGGACCCATGTTCTCTGGGAAAACGTAAGTTTTACTGCTACTAGTATACTAAACTTTCAGACCGAAATGTCACAGTATCTAATTGAACTAAACTTGAATTTTACATATTTATTGTACATGATCAATCTAATTAACATTAGATGTTAGATCCACTTGCATACTTGTTACACCAACATATAACAACATCCCATAGAGGGTCACATCAGAGGTCAAATTCTATCAACCAATCAAATCTTCACCCTGCAAAATCATTAAATATTGGTGAAGAAGTCAAGAGTTGTTCTGAACTTGACCTTTGACGTGACCCTCTATTCAATGGATGTTGTTAGATGTTAGTGTAGCGAGTATGTGAGCGGAGCTAACATCTAATTTTAATTAGATTTCATACGTGATATGCTTAATTTTGTTTTGTCTTAACAGTACAGAATTAATGCGTAGAATGAAGCGCTATCAGATTGCCAGCTACAAATGCCTCGTAATCAAGTATTCCAAGGATGACAGATATGAAAAAGAGGGAATTTCTACTCATGACAGGTACACAAATTCCTTTTTATGATGTGGGGGGACCTTATTGCCTTTTAGCAGAAGAAAATAATTACTTTATAACAAAACCTTATATAATAAAGATATACACTGTATTCTGTTATTTATATTTACACAATATTAATGTCTTAAAATATTAAAGAAGGAAAGAAAGAAAATTGATGGAATGTATAAGAAAGTTGCAGATAAATGCGCCAAGCACTGTAAAATTATCCTTTATTGAAGAATTAATAAATCTCTCAATATGCATTTGTAGACAAACACTTCCTGCGATTCCAGCAGATGTACTGGAACAAATAAAAGCAGAGGCAGAAAACTATGAAGTCATCGGAATAGATGAGGGGCAATTTGTAAGTAAAACATTTGCACTGACTTCTCATTTATTGTTTAAGCTCACCTAATCTAAAGGTACACTTGAGCTTTATGTTATTAGCCGAGCCCCCATCCCCCTGGTCAACCAAGAAAACTGCAAAATGCTGAAAGTTTCTTCTTTTTTTTAAATAGAACATCACAGGGCTAGACAAATAGCACTGCTCGTTTCCCAGGACAACCAGTTTTGGTTGGTGGGCAAGTAATTTGATAACAAGTGCCTGTCGGCGGACAAGTTGTTTTCCAATTGACAAAAAAAAATATGTACAATACTCAAACATATTTTATGTTATCACGTTTTAAGTATCATGAATCACAGCAAAGCACCTGTTTTCACTGATGTTGACTACTGCATCAGCTGTACATACGTACATCGAATAGTCGGAACTCCTCTAGAATTTACCGATTAACATGTTGTAAAAATATGCATATGTCGTAAAACATGGAGTTATCAATGTCGTCAAAGACGTGGTATGGGAAGTTTTGTTCACAGACTCGTTTTGTTAGGTTTTATGAGATTGATCCGTGTCCGATATCTTCACCTTTTTCCATTAAATAAACACAACATTACTTTTTTAAAAAGGGTACTTGTATTTTATTGCAGAATTTTTAGGGAAAATTTTCCTTTAAATTAATCATTTTCATCTAAATTTATCTGGGGAAGAATTTCGTGATTTTAGGTGTCTCACTCAAGAAATAATTTAATATCAATGCTTCAGTTGTATGTATTTTAAGAAAACGGTGGGACAAGCATCTTTTTTGGTAGAACAAGTAGTTTTACAATGGAACCTGCAAAATGCCAAAAAATCTATTTGTCTACCCCTGAACATCATAGCTTCTTCAGAAAGAGTACACTTGTATTTTGTTTAATTTATAGCTTTAATGGATTTAATAAGAATAATTCTCTGTTGCTTTACATGATACCATTTACGCATTGCTTAAAAATTTATCATAATTTTTATTTACATTCGATATGTATTTTTAGTTTCCTGATGTTGTGGAGTTTTGTGATGAAATGGCAGAGTGTGGTAAAACAGTCATTGTAGCAGCATTAGATGGAACATTTCAGAAAAAGGTGAACCGTTAGTTGTTATTTGTTACAATTCCTAGGTAACTAAAATACATCTTACTCATACTGTAGTAGTAGTACCGGTACATGTACAATGTGATTATCTATTTGACACATACTACTGGTAATTAAACAAAATCACAAGTGGCATGTATTGAACTTTACATTTTGTGCAAATAAAGGAAGTACTGATTCTGATTTTAATTTTTTAGGGATTTGGAAACATTTTGAACCTGGTACCTCTGGCTGAGAGTGTGATCAAACTAACAGCTGTGTGTATGAGGTGTAACAGTGAGGGGTCATTCACCAAGCGCACGGGGTCAGAAACTGCTGTAAGTTATACACATGATTGTTCATAATTTAAAAGGTTTTGAAGTTTCAGAAAAATAGTTTTAAGTATATTGCTCATACCTAAAATATTTATAAATTTTGAAACATTTGAGTGGATTTCTCCAACAATATTCTGGTGATTGGAAAATGTTTTATGTTTTGATCAAGAGTTGTCTGCCTTGTGGGAAATAACACACACTCAAAGATGCAAAATAAATTGATTATATCTTGATATTAATTTTTTTTTTTCCATCAGGTTGATGAATATTCAAAAACTTCTGCAATTTATTTTTGCCATAAAATTACATGTTGAAGGAACACCCCAAAAGTTGATGTTGTAAATGTCCCAGTGATTGGGATAAGCTAGGGAGTAAATGTGACAATGGCGCACTCCAAGTCAGTGTCAATGTGACATTTCAAAATTCAATGCGCCAAACAGAATTTTTAATGGGACATTTCCTAGTTTCGAACTTGCAATTGATAAGTTGCTGTTAGAATTTCAGTTGACTTTACTTAATTGAAATTGTCAAATTATTGAATGACGATATTAAAAGATACAAAATTAGTAATATTTAAATTCACTAGTGTCAGAAAATAAATAAACACTGCAATTTAATTTCAATTCTTTATTTTTTGTCTCCGATCTTTGACATCTTTAAAATGATTTAAAGCCTGGTTAAGATCTATACTGCTTCCCTCCAATTCATGTTAAATTTTCGTATTGGTTTTTCCTCCGAGACTACATCATCAGCCTTACCGTCAGATTCATCTCCATTCGTTCTGTCACCATGTTATACTTCCGTCGAAGTTCCGAGTCATTTTTTACCGATTTACTTGAATTCTGTTTGTTAGGATTGTTAAAATTGAGAAAAGTCTGCCCTTTACCAGTATGAGGTATTTTCTAAGGCAGCATGCTGCACTCCTGACACCATTTTATTTCGTGCGTGTTAGCCAATCAGAAAACATGTAACTGTTTCATTAGATACTAGGGAAAAGAAAGTCATGAGAACACTTTAACTGAACGACATTAAATACTGTTTTTTCAAGCGTAAATTGACAGCGATTGTTGTGGGAAAGTACAAGCGCTTGGGGGAAATCTCAAAGTTTAAAAGTATGTAGTGCATGATTATATATGCGCCACGATGGCGCAGCGTTTTTAATTTTAATGTGACATTTTAAAATTTAATGCGACTATGGCGCAGGGCGCGTGCTTATCCCAATCACTGATGTCCTGCCTTTTAGAAATTTAGCTACAAATTTTTCTTTCCAAATAAACTTCATGGAGGGAGGGGTGGTTAAATGGTGATTTCATTGTGAATGTATGTGATATTACAGAGAATATTTATCCACACTCCTAATGAGAATTTGCCACATAGCTTGCTAATTTACAGGTGGAGGTTATTGGTGGAGCCGAGATGTATCTGGCCGTGTGTCGTATGTGTTTTAAATCCCCCGTCAAACCCTCCCCAAACAAGAACAGAACCCCCACCATCCTACCCACGGAGAAGGAAGAGAAAACCATTGCCAACAGGAAACTCTTTAGTAGCTCACCTAATAACTCTCCTATAAAAAATAAATGTTGAAGTAGTTTTTCCATCATCATCGTATGATAGATGGAATGCATTATGGCATAAAAGATTAATTTATTGTCTTTAAATAATGTGTCTGTGTATTAAAATACATGCATATATTAGAAATCCATGAAGTATTGAATCATACATGTTAATGTAAACGGGTATGTTACTTTGAAAAAATTTGATAATTAGTAAGATGTGTCATAATTTGAGTATCTACCGGTTCCAATAAAATTAGTAATTCATAAGACTTTACATCAAATGTGTGAGAAATGAAAACATACAGATTTACCATATTGGTTGTTTGCATTATCAAAAGATTGTTATTTTCAGTGTGTTCATTTTTACTCCTCTGTGTTTTGCAATGATATGATATTAATTATGTATTAATGTTTTTTATGAATTTGGACTTTACTTGTACATAAATTTTTTAAAAGCTGTAGCATAGTGCTGATAGTACCGGTATATGTTTTAGTATAAGTACTCTTAGAATGTATTTTAGAATGCTTGTTTCATGAATTGCAAATGATCTCACTTTTAATATCTGGAGATTTTTACTATAAGAAAAACTCATGCCATGCCAAAAAAAACCATATATTTATAATCTGAAATAAATTAAGAAAAAAATCTGTTATATTTATTAGTTTGATTGACAGAGAAAGAGAAAAATATCTGGAGTGGGAATCCAATCCAGACCCCTGCATATTTAGTCAGGTGCTCTATCAACTGAGCTACACAGGCCAATATCCATGACACACATCATTACATTCCTTCCTCCAAACCCTCAAAGACAACCCCAAATCTGTTGTTCTCCTGGCAGAACGTAATACCTGCAAGTCCAAAGAAGGTCAATGGCAAAAAGTTATACAAAGGAGGAAATAAATAAATGGTGGGCGAGGAATCCAACCTGGGACCCCAGCATTAATAGTCAGGTACTCTACTTGATAAGGTATATACATGGCTCCTAACCATTTTATGTGCAGTTTTATTTACTTACATTTACCAGTTTACATGCACTATTGTGCATGTTTGGCTCTGTAATGAATTTGGAGGTATAGAATATTCTTACAGTGAGGAATAGACCTATGGGGTATTTATATGCATCTTAAAATAATTAGCTTGGAAAAAGTTTATAAACATGGGGAGGGGAAGGAGGTTGAATGAAAAATCTTGAATATGTAGTAGTTTGGGCCATGTATACCAGCCTGGGTAGGTAGAGCACCAGATTAGCAATGCCACATATTTTCTGTATGGTTTGGAAATGTAAAAGGAGAGGAGAAAAATGCAACAGACTGGACTGGAATTCAAACCCCTTGAATATTTAGTCAGGTGCTCTACCAAGTAAGCTATCAGGGGGCCTGAATTCAAATTTCAGTCAAGTCTGTCACATTTTAAGCTCACCTCAACGAAGTTGGGGGGAGCTTATGTGATATGTACATTTTGTACTGTACTGTATATGTCACTGTCGGCATCCCAGGTTAAGGTTTTTGTAGCTTTTCTCTTTGTAAGTAGTTTTATGCCATATATTGATCATACATGCATGGAACATGCATCTAGTGTGTTTCATTGTACCAGATGGGGTTTCAGATGCTGCAATTTCAGCAAAGGAATAACCAGGTTAATGTTTTTGGAGCAGGTTAACATTTTTGGTGTAGGTCTAACCCATCTTATTTCCAAGTAACTATAAGCCCTATGATGACCAAACTTGCATGAATGATACATCCAAGGATGCATACAACCAGACTTGCTTCGGATGCCGGATCTGACATTCACTTTCCGGATGAGTGAACAAGTTAATGTTTTTGGTGCATTTCCAATGATGACCAAACTTGCACGAATGATACATCTAAAGATGGACACTAATAGACTTGCTTCAGATGCTGGGTTTGACCTTCATTTTCTGGATAAGTGAACAGGTTTATGTTTTGGTTCAGGTCCCATTACCAAGTAACTATGAATCCTATGATAACCAAACTTGCATAGATGGAACACCTAAGGATGCACACTGAAAGACTTGCTTCGGATGCTGGATCCCATACATTTTCCAGACAATGGACCAAGGAAAAGTTATGGGTTCAAGAAACTATAAGGCCTATATTAACCAAATTTACATAAATGATGCATCAAGAGATGAACTTTCTCAAACTTGCTTCAGATGCTGGATTTGAATTACATTTTCTTGATGGACAACTAGTTTGAAGTTTTTGGATATAATAGGTCTAATTTCCATTAGAAACCGCAAGCCTTATCAGATCAAAATTGCATTTATTTTGCATTTTGGGATGTAAACTTCTAGAATGTTAGTTAATTGTAGGGCTTTTGCCTTACTTAAAGACAACATACTTTGAGGTGAGTTCTGTAATCTCTGATTAGCTATGTTTCTCCTATGGTGCCCTCATCCTGAAAGTGAAAATGAGATAGCTTTGGTATCTTTGAATCTTTACATACAACTTGACTGAAATTACTGTAATGAAATGAAAAGTTTAGACCTAAAGTAATAGTCAAGATGTAAATTCTGCATCCATACTTTGCTTTGCTAAGCCAGTGACAATTGTGTATCAGATGTGGAAATAATTCTGCATGAAATAACCCACTGGTCTAATGATTGCATTTTAATCTCATACATTTTTTCCTAGTTGACTCTGGGAGCACATGTGCAGGCACTTGTTTCAGTATTAAACTTTTAAACCATAGGATTATATACTAACATACCATGGGTTAAACATTTCTGATACAAGCGCCTGTGTCTTGGAAGGGAAATAAGATTTTTTAAATTCAAAGTAAAAATAACAAGAAAAGGAAACGATTAATTAAATTATGAACGAAAGACAACGAATTGTGTATGTGAACCCGGCTATCGGAACTGTGCTTTCTTTGCCTCGTTTTACCCAGTACTCTTAAGTTTATGTAAACTGCTTTTTCATTGGTCAATTTTCCATACAGTAATCCAATCGGAGGTGATTTGATAAAAATGCATATGTCAGAATATCAACATGTCGACGAAGATGGTACCGTACGAGAAAATTTAGGTCATTTCTTCATCGATTTAATTTAGATTACTTGAAATATGTTTCAACGATCAAAAGGATGGCTTCCTGGACTCTTGTCAAAGCCAAAGAATCCACATTCATTAGAGCATTTGAAGTGAGTATTTAATAAATGTATATTTACATATTTATCTTATCGTTGTGTATATTGATTGTGAATCCTGTTTCTACTTATCGGTGTAGTACAGCAAGAAAGTCACGTTTATGCGCATTTGTAAACCATACTAGTGTTATGAAAATAATTATGATTCATGCCTCACTATTAAATTTTCACTGTTTGATATTAGTGGTCTAAAGTTAATCTTTGAACTTGCACAAACATTGGTACTAGAATTCAGTGATGATGATATTGAATTTGTATAGGATATCACATTGTTTGTTGTTGGATATGATTTTCATCCAACAAGGTGTATTTTTTTTTATCCCTAAGCCTCGGCGAGGACTTGTAAAAAGGGCAAGGAATTGGTTTAAAATTATATCTAGCCAAAAACCAATGGCTCCAAAGAGCCTTTTTATCACGTACATTAGTTACACACAACTTCTACATGTTTTACACTGTATTTATAATGTTTTATGAGTTAGGTATTATTTAACAGCATTGCAATTTTTGGTAGACTTTACTGGTCCTCAGATCCACAAGATCCTCACACTCATTGGACTATGACGTAACTTTTTATGTTAAAATGGGTAGGCAAACCCGGGCCGGGGCAAATTAAAAGCTGGGGCAGTTCTAGATTTTTCACTTTTCTGTCTTAATACTTTATCGATCGAGCTGAAATTTTCAGATTCTATTCAATTTATGATTATTTATATTTGCTATTAAAATTGCCCTAAAATACTCAATATTGTAGATTTTATCTGCGATTATTTATTTTCAAGTTAGTAAAATGGGTAGGCAGTTTCCTAAGTCCAAAACATATGTTTTCCGACATATGTTATAGAAAGTCCATAAAGATATGAATAATTCTGGTGTTTAAGAATATATATGAACTATAAATTAATATGTCTTCATGGATTATTGCAATATTTACATACAATTACATGTTTTAAGAAAAACCGGGTCATTAAAAGCGGATCCGATCACCCGGGACAAACCTGAAAAATCCGGAATAATTGTACAGGTTACTTGATTTTGCTGAAGATTAACATTTAATCTAAACAGTTCCAAAACCCAATTTAAATTAATAATTTAAATTATTAAATTACAAAGGACCTCCTTGTGGTTAGAGCTAGGCAATGTTGAAAAAGTGATGGCTAAACATCTTCCGATAGAAACAATTGGCTTTCATTATTTCTGAATTTTCTGGTTTGCCCCGGGTGATCGGATCCGGTTTTAATGACCTGGTTTTTCTGAAAATGCATAAATTCTGCATACCTATAGCATTTATGATGTAAAATTAATTTTAATTAGTGGAAAATATCGGAAAAGCCCACAACTGTAATGGTTTAATGAGTCGTAATTCCAAAATACCGTAAAATGTCGTGTTGATTTTGCCTACCCATTTTACCAACTTGGAAATGAACAATCGCCTAGAAAATCCGAAATATTGCGTAGATTATGGCAATATTTACAGGGAATACAAAAGAACCTTCAAGAAACATAATCTGAAAGTTTCAGATAAATTGGTTGAGTCTTAGCGAAGATATTTGAAAAATCTCGAACTGCCCCGGCTTTTAATTTGCCCCGGCCCGGGTTTGCCTACCCATTTTACCAACACTCTTTTATGTCACTCAACTGACAAGGCTTATTCTTGCACACTATTCGACTGATCTTGTACCCACCTGAGAGATTAGGGTTAGTCCTTGCACAAGTATTTGACTGATTAGCGTTAGTCTTGCTTCCATCCAAGAGATTAGATTAGTACTCGCACTCTATTTGACTGATTAGGGTTAGTCTAGCATCTACCTAGGAGATTCCAGCTACACATCTTAGTCCTTGCATAGCATCCGATAGATTAGGGTTAGTGACTCGTTCTTTTCAATAAACTAAGAAATTCAGTTGCTTCTGTAATTTTTGCAAGGTCATAATTCAGCTTCAATGCCATTTCGTTGGTTTGTTTACATGGAAGAATGGCTAAATCTGAAAGAAATGACACTAAGCATGCACTTTGTCGACAATTATTTTTGTCGATTTTTTCAATGAGTAAACAATATTTATTAATTTCTTCGGAGAATGAGGTTAAAAACTCCATTTAAAAACTAACTTTAAAACGGAAAATTTGATTTTGAGGTCAAAAAGGTCAAAAACTTCGTATTTTATATTTTTTTTTGATCGCTCACTTGATCTCATAATTATATATAGTTATGAGATCAAGTGAGCGATCAAAAAAAAGTTTAAATTTTTCACACTTGATACTTAACAATGAAATCCTATTACAACAATGTAATGAATGTATACAGTATTATATTTATAACTAGGTACCTCGACAGCTTTGAGGATAGTCATGATACTTTAAAATTTAATCATATTATACATGTGACAACAATGTAATATATTTATAACCAGGTACCTTCACAGTCTGCTGTGTAAGAATCAGACAGTAACAGAGGGTAACAGGAGTCTGCTGGTGGAAACACTGAGATCCATCTCAGAAATCTTAATCTGGGGAGATCAGAATGACAGCAGTGTGTTTGAGTAAGTCTCCTATATATAATAATCAATACACATGAATTAAGGTTCATAGACCTTTTGCTAGGAAAGATAACTCTTGCTATGATAAGTGATAAGTATTTATTTATAAACTTAAAACATTTTTTTTTAAAAATGCTTATATCAAAAGTCATTAGCACTGCAGTCACTAAAACTAATTATATTTGATTGAAAGAAGGAACATTTTTCTTGACATGAAATACAAATTATCTGCATTATTTTACGTCTGTTATTATATTTTATTCTTTCAGCTTCTTTTTGGAGAAGAACATGCTCTCATTTTTCCTGAGATATTTACAACAGAAATCTGGTCGCTTTATTTGTGTACAGCTTCTCCAGACTCTCAACATTCTGTTTGAGAACATCAGCAATGAGACATCACTCTGTAAGTTCTAGCTAGCATATCTGTAACCAGGTCCATCAGCTTGTAGATTTAATGCACAAAAGAAAGGCCAGAAAAAAAGTAATCTAACTAAATTTGATGTGGATTTAAGCACATGGTTATTTCTTTTGACAGTTAATGTTGTACAACATTCAAAAGAAACTAGAAATGCTGTATCTAGATTTATAAAGTTAAATGAACATGTTTGACAATATACATTATATTAAGTTTAAGTAAATTTTGAAATACCTGTAATGTAGTTTCACTAGTTTATTTGTAAAATTGTTAATACCTACATAATTCTGTTAATTTCAGATTACCTCTTATCTAACAATCACATCAACTCAATCATTGTCCACAAGTTTGACTTCTCTGATGAGGAGGTGAGTGCAATTTTTTTTTTTAATTTTGGTGATTGAAGTTTCTTGTATATTTTCTTTCCAATAGGAAGTATATAGAGTCCAGAATTTCATTTTCTTTTATTATATTTTAGGTTATGGCGTATTATATTTCCTTCCTGAAAACCTTATCATTCAAGCTGAACAGACATACAATTCACTTCTTCTATAATGAGGTAAAATTAACTTCTGAGTAATAGGTTTTAATGTTGAATCAGTAGTTTTGCACTTACTTAGATTTTATGAGTACTTCTTAATGTGAATTTACAACCTCCCTGAATACTGATAGATAGATGTTAGATCTTATATAATGAGATGCTTGTATATGAAGTGCAAATCTTTTTAATTAATTAGCAATCTAAGAAAATTGTCCTCCACAAATTATAATGATCTCTGTCTCATTAAGACCTAGGCCTGGGGCCACAAAACTTAAATGAGCTCACTTTGATGTCAAACTCACTTTTCAACTGTACATGTCATGTACAATTATTCCTTTTGTGAAAATTAGATTGAAAGTTAGCTCATTATGGTTGTTATGCCTCCATAACATAGTTTACTTTTTACAGCACACAAATGACTTTGCCCTGTACACCGAGGCTATCAAGTTCTTCAATCACTCAGAGGCCATGGTCAGAATCGCTGTCAGGACAATCACACTCAATGTCTACAGAGGTCAGTCAGACTTAAATAGAATTATTTGTTTGAATAACTATTTATTAACAATTATTAACTATTATTATTGGTTTGAATAACCACTTATTAACAGGTATTAAAATGAGAAATTTTTCCTCTTTAGTTGAGGACAAGACAATGTTGAAGTACATCAGGAATCGGACTGCAGCTCCGTACTTCTCTAACCTTGTCTGGTTTATTGGGAACCACATACTGGACCTGGACATGTGTGTCAGGAATGATGCAGAGTGAGTTGATCATTCTGTGTAATGATGTACTACAAAATCTCTAAAAACAACTATTAATATTGCAAAGTCTATAAAAATAACTCTCAGTTTTTGTTTTTACAGAACTAAGTAAACAAGGTTTACATGAGTATACTTTGGTCACAAGTATTATCATTTTAACAGGATTTGAACAATTATAAATTTCTGCAATAAGTTATTATTGAAAATTTGAAAGGAAAAAATGATGACAGCAATGCTCTAATCCTTCCAGCCATCAGAGTAGGGACCGGTTGGCAGATCTGGTAGCAGAACACCTGGATCACTTACATTACCTGAACGACATCTTGTGTCTGAACATTGACGCCCTGAATGACGTCCTGACTGACCAGATGCTTAATCGTCTACTGATTCCTCTGTATGTGTACTCACTGACCATGAGGAAGCGGTCAGCGGACAGAATGGTAAGATAATTGTCTACTGATTCCGCTATATGTGTACTCACTGACCATGAGGAAACGGTAGCTTTAGAATAGTAAGACAATCGTCTATTTTCCACTTGTACTCACTGACCATGAGGAAACGGTCAGCAGACAGAATGGTAAGACAATCTTCTACTGATTCCGCTGTACTTGTACTCACTGACCATGAGGAAACGGTCAGCGGACAGAATGGTAAGACAGTCGTCTACTGATTCCTCTGTACGTTTACTCACTGACCATGAGGAAACGGTCAGCGGACAGAATGGTAAGACAATCGTCTACTGATTCCGTTGTACTTGTACTCACTGACCATGAGGAAACGGTCAGCTGACAGAATGGTAAGACAATCGTCTACTGATTCCTCTGTACGCGTACTCACTGACCATGAGGAAGCCGTCAGCTGACAGGATGGTAAGGCATCAGGTGTAGATTGTATTCTGTGTGGCCGCAGGGTTAACTTCAACTTACCATACTTTGCAAATGATTTTGGCCTGTTTTACAGTCACATGAAAAGACAGATAAATTATCACTGTTGAATTCATAACATTTTAATTTACTTGCTGACAATTGAGGTAGAAAAATGAAATGAGAGCAAAAATTTTCCATAAGAAAGTATCATTAGCAAGGCCTTGTCTTTCGTAGATATAATCAGAAATTCAAGTTGTGGATCTTTTTTATAACATGTATTAATGTTATCCTGTGGTATGAGTCAGATATAGATAAAATATGAGAGTATTCAAGCTTTTTTCAGTCTTTAGAAAGGTAAAGTATCTACACTATTTTTAGCTCTACTGGTCAGAGACCAGAAGAGTTTATGCGATAGTAATGCGTCCGGCGTCCGTCCGTCTGTCCGTCTGTCTGTCTAGCTGTCCGTCTGTCTGTAAACAATTTTTCAAAATGCTACTCCTCCTACAGTTTTGGTCTAATTTCAATATAACTTGGCACACAAGTAGACTACACTAAGATACATAATTTTGTATCGGTTTTTGATTTTGATTGTTGCCGTGGATTAAAAATAGAAATTTCTATGAAATTCTTTCAAAATGCTACTCCTCCTATAGTTTTAGTCTGATTTCAGTATAACTTGGCACACAAAATTTAAGATACATAATTCTGTGTATCGGTTTTTGATTTCGATGAACGGTGTTGCCGTGGTTACTAAAAATGAAACTGTGAAATTCTTTCAAAATGCTACTCCTCCTACAGTTTTGGTCTGATTTCAGTATAATTTGGCACACAAGTAGAATACACTAAGATACATAATTCTGTGTATCGGTTTTTGATTTCGATGAACGGTGTTGCCGTGGTTACTAAAAATAGAAATTTCTGTGAAATTCTTTCAAAATGCTACTCCTCCTACAGTTTTGGTCTGATTTCAGTATAATTTGGCACACAAGTAGAATACACTAAGATACATAATTCTGTTTATCGGTTTTTGATTTCGATGAACGGTGTTGCCGTGGTTACTAAAAATAGAAATTTCTGTGAAATTCTTTCAAAATGCTACTCCTCCTACAGTTTTGGTCTGATTTCACTATAACTTGGCACACAAATAGAATACACTAAGATACATAATTCTGTGTATCGGTTTTTGATTTCGATGAACGGTGTTGCCGTGGTTTTAAAAAAAGAATATTTAGAGTGAAATTCTTTCAAAATGCTACTCTTCCTACAGTTTTGGTCTGATTTCAGTATAACTTGGCACACAAGTAGACTACACTAAGATACATAAATCTGTGTATCGGTTTTTGATTTAGATGAACGGTGTTGCCGTGGTTATAAAAATAGAAATATCTGTAAAATTGTTTCAAAATGCTACTCCTCCTACAGTTTTGGTCTGATTTCAATATAACTTGGCACACAAGTAGAATACACTAAGATACATAATTCTGTGTATCAAATTTTAATTTTGATGAACTGTGTTGCCATGGTTACTAAAAATTGCAATGTCTGTAAAATTGTTTCAAAATGCTACTCCTCCTACAGTTTTGGTCTGATTTCAATATAACTTGGCACACAAGTAGACTACACTAAGAACATAAAGAGACTTTATCAACGATCATTATTCTATATATTGCTGTTGTAAAGTTTCAAATAGCTGCTTAAGACATCCTTTGCTATAAGTTCAAACCAGTAGAGCTTCAGTCTCGACAGAGACTTCTGGTTTTATTAAAGAAAAATATATTTTTTTACAGGTTGACAGAAAGCATGTCAGCTCAGTTGTGTCCCTTTTCCTTTTATC